TATCTCGTTAACTGTTTGTCAGAGGGAAAAGTAGTACAGGACTTTTTTACCTGATTTGATCTCAGGAATATGCTGTTGCAATAGTGCTCCAATTATGGAAAATTTTTGTGTATCTACCAAATTTACATACATAAAAATTTTCAATAATTAGAGCACTATTGCGACAACATATTCCTGAGACCAAATCAAGTAAAAAAAGTCCTGTACTAAGTTTCCCTCTGACAAACAGTTATCGAAATATCATAAGCTAAACATTGAAAAAGTTATAAATTTTCTCTTGAACATCTCAAAAAGTACTAGGCAAATAAAAAAATGTTTCAGACAAAACTTACGTACTTTTTAACGTGGAATGCGAATCTGTTATAAAAAGTGGGGGTTCCCATTTTAGATTTTAAAGTTGTCCCACGCCCCACCCACAGGGGTGGGGGTGGGGGGTCAATTTTGGTATCATTCGATAGCTCTTTCAAAAATAGGAAATACGTATTTTTCCGTTTTCCGATCCACCCACAATTTCTCGGGATATTCAACCGTTCCGGGACTTTTAGACCACCCTGTATACGATAGTGCACGACGCGACGATACGCTCGACATTGTTGCGCCAATTTATCGTTCTCCGGCTTCGAGAGCCGGCAATTAAATACTCTTTCTCCTTTTTGATGATTTATTTATGGTAATTGCGTTTGGTCAACGGAACGACATTGTTGCAGGTAAACATTATTTCACTCATTTAAATATTATGCGTAACGATTATATAGGGTGTCGTTTTAATCTTAACAGGCAAATATTTCGAGGAATATGCTGTTGCAGTAGTGCTACAATTATTAAAAATTTTTGTGCATCGTAAACATACAATTTACGTGTACAAAAATTTTCAATAATTGGAGCACTATTGCAACAGCATATTCCTGAGGCCAAATCAAGTAAAAAAGTCCTGTACTACTTTTCCGTCCGACAAACAGTTATCGAAGTCTCGTAAGCTAAATATTGAAAAAGTTATTTTTCGGACTTGTTCGAGAATCACTTTCAACCGGCCAGAACGGTTGGCTTTAATCATCGTCGCAATAATAGAGCATTCAATATATACATATAATATATTGTATGTATAAGCAATAAAATATTAAATTATAAAATATTTGATAAAGCCGCAACGCGTGTTTTTTTGCTTTCATTTCCACTGCCACCCCCGGCTATTTTAAAATCAAATAATGAAAGCGTCGCTCTTGTTTTTCGCGCAATAATTGTTTTGATCACTGCTTGATTAAAGTCACATATTTCAGTTGATTTAAAAGCTACTGTGTACGTGTAAAGTGCCGACGTTGCATTTTTCTTTGCTTCTTTAATGATAACGCCGTTGTTATTATAAACTCTATTAAAAAAAAAGCAATGCAAATAGCTTGACATGAATATCGCAAACATTCAAGTTCCAAAATCAAAGAAAAATCACAATGTAATATATTACGTAACGTATTACAACCGTGGAGAATAAAGCCTGATACACACTATTGGTTCGCTCACAGTCCACTCACGGTCCGATCCATGATGTAACAATACGAGGTGAAACATTGCGCATATAACCAATTTTTGGGACAAATTGTTCATTGGTTCTTGCTGCATTCAACCGCAGTGATTTGCAGTTTGAAGGTTTGGGGCAAATTTCTGATTGGTCACGAGTGCGCATCCACGGGAATGTTACACCTGGTATACTTACATTACGGTCAGATCCAAATGTTCTTTCATTGTTCATAATGTAAGTAGTGACGCTATAAGTAACGCTCCAGTCGCGACCGAAGTGAAAGAGAGGAAGGGACGAACAAGAGAGCGGAGCGTGAGCGCACCGAGAGTGTGTATCGGGCCTAAGCCGTACTCTTCGTTGAGCGTTCCTTGTTCGTATACGTGTTATTTTTAATAAAGCTGTAAACAAACCGAAGATTGTCGCGGGAAAGGTTCAGATGAAAATATATGATAATAGTTTACCATGATTTGCAGTTGAATTCAACATAATTGACGCTAATTTCACGACCCGTTTTATTCGAGCTGCTCAGAGTGATGACGCGTTCCGTGATAGAGCGCACTGAACTTTAATTACAACGCAATTTCTGCGAATTGCATTTAGCGCGCGCTAGCAACGAATTGCAATGTATTGATTCGCCCGCGTCATTGGTCGCCACAATGTTTCACACTGATTCGCGGTATATAAGGCCCGGTTCCGCCAAATCGTCGCTTAACTTTAAGCCTAGCTTAATTCTTTGTCTCTTTCCAACAGTTACTCTGGAAAGACGCACGTGAATTAAACTGAGATTGGTGAAACCGGACTCTCAAATCTCCCTACGTTGTGTATTACTCGGAAAAGTTAATGCAAGCTTCGAGACGATGTCTACCGTAAAATTAACCAAAACTTTCCTAAAGGATAACATAAACATTTTCTGAACGGTAAAATGAGATTCTGCAAAATTACCGAGGGGGGGGGGGAACCGCTGAGGGCATTGTGGAGTACAGATTTGCGGCATCACTGGGCATTACTAGGCATTACTAGGCATTCTTTTCGCCATTAGTTTGGGCATTGGGCCTTGCTGAGGCATTATATAGTTAACTGAATAAATTAAAATAAAATAAAGTAATGTCCACTGGGCATCGGTGGGCATTGGTGTACAAGATTTTGGTCAGCGGTTTCCCCCTCGGAAATTACATAAAGATCGGGCAAAGAAACTAGGCGAAGCCGACGACACCCGAAGAAAAAAAAACGGAGCGCGGACCGAATCCCGATCAAATTATGGAGGGATGCCGCGCGTGACGGACTAATCCAATCGCAGCACCGATATATGCAATAACGTTTACTTGACCGCGCGGGTACTACATATTAGAGCGCGTGCCCATATGCGGCGCAGGGTGTACGTACATACTGCACGCGCGTCGACAGTCCGCCCCCATCCTGCAGCTTATTACGCGCACGAAGGGAGCGAGAGGGCGAGGGTGTGGGAGGAGGGGGCGGATACTTCGTTCAGGACGAAACATTGTTATCCGCGGCGTAATCCGCCTTTGCCCGGCCGGCGTGCGCGCACCGGCGTAATTATAAATAAAACGAGCGCAAACCCGGGAAGCCTCATTAATATTTCGCTTTGTTCTTCCCTCCGTAGTTGCACGCCGTAAAGAAAATGCGGGGGCGCCTTTATTTAAAATATCGGAAAATATTAACGGGGAGGCGGAGGAGGGGGGGGGGAGGGAGGAACGCGCGCGGTGCGTTTGTACTCCTTTAATTTTTCGCTCGACGGTGCCCTCGCGCGGGAGTAAAATGGCGACGTTATTACTGGACCCGCCGTGGCAGATCTCGCGCGTGTCTCCCACCGGAAGGTATATCCGAAAGGCGTTAAGCTCGGACGATTAACGTCGCCTTTGCACGGCGAAAGTCGCCGGCTTCCTTCGCCGTTCCGTTTTCTCCCGCGAGAATTTCACGGGTTTTCTGCACGCGCGCGACGGGGATCCCCGCCCCGCGTGCGTTGAAACGCGCGCGTCCGGAACGCGCTGTATAAACGTCGCCCGCGGACGCCGCGCATTCAAAGGGGGCCGAAAATGCACGGCGATAAAAATACAAAGATACTCCTTCCCTCGCGCGCATCTCTCGTAACTCTACTGTTCCGCTGCTGCTGCTGCTGCTGCTGCTGACAGCTTGCCGTATCAGTGTTCTTCATACGCGCCGAGAGCAGCGCTGTTCAAGCGAGATTATGTTGAAGATTGATTATGTTGCAGATTGTGTTGAAAGACGTATTAATTTAGTTGGAAATTACTGCTGCAATTCGGGGGCGCGTAAATAGCAGCGCCGATTTGATTACGCCGGGCGTGGCGTTCGAGTGGTTTCCCAAAATTATTTTTGAAAAGTAGCGTCGTTGAAATAATTGATGCGCGACCGGTCAATATAACAATATATATTTTCGTCGCTTTCGTCCTGTCGCGCAATGCGACTGCCCTTTTCAACGGGAAATAAATAAAAAATTTATAAACTCATATAGAACATAATAACCGTCAATTGCATTTCAAAAAATTCGAACGGGGGGGAAAAAGGCGGATATTAGCTGGAAACGTGACAGTAATTGAAAATGGACAAAGTCGATTCATACATTATTCGGATTTACAATATAATATTTTCAGCGACGAAAACAGTCGCTACGTGTTTACGATAATTACCGTGTTAAACAATCGTCATTACAATGGCACGTTCTATTGATTATTTTTTGAACGTCGCACAAATTTCACTAAATGCGATCGATAAGCCGCGGCGAACAAACGGTGTTCTTCGAAAATCCTTTCCCAGAGGCGCACAAGCGCGCGATTTATTCAATCCCTCGCGGGACAGTCACTGGCGTGAATATTTCCGACGTTCTCGCGACGTTGCTCTAACGATCGAATTAATCCGGAAGAGCCGAGCGTACGTGATCGAAGGTGCATGCGGCCGCTGTACGTAATCGTCGTGCCGGCTGAACGTCACGTCGATCGTTCGCCATTACGACATCGGTGTCGATACGCCGCGTCGCAACGGCGCATGCCGGCGCGTTGCCGGCGGTCCGCAATTAGCAATTGAAACCGGCGGGCCGACCGATTGATTGGACCCGCGCGATATCCCGCGGTCCAATCGACTCGTCGATTATAATTGCCAGCGCTAATTACGCCGCGGCTGCACCGGCACCGGCGCGCGAGGTATGATCGACGCGGCACCCACGCGCTACGTTCGAAATATTTTCCGCCATCGCGCCGACATCGTCGGGATTTCAACCCCCCGACAATTTGGTTCGGAATAAACGAAACGAGCGCGTGCACGGGGAAACTTCATTCTCGCCGCGCGTCGGAATTGAGATTTATTACCGGCTCATCGAGATTTATTACTGGCTTCGACGCGTCGCGCCTCTCTATCTTCTCCCGGGGAAATTCGCAACGGCGATCCGCGAGCGGCGCGCATGCATATGAATGTAAAAGGGGGGGGGGATGGGGCGGGTAGGGGGAAAGGGCAAACTTCTAACTTGTACTCACGTCGTTCTGGGCGAAGGTCGGCGTGATTGGCCCGTCGCTGGCTTCCCATTTGTCCGCGATGCGGATCGTCTCCGCCGTTTTCTGCTGCACCGATTTCGACTCGTCGAGCAGCGTCAGCTCGTAAAACTCCTGGATATCTGCAACAGCCCGGAGAAAAAGGAAAAGACGTATTACCATCTGCCTCTGAGCCCCCGACGTTCGGGAGGTAAAATCTCCGCGGACCGTATGACCTCCAAGCGGTCCCACGGACGGCGGGGGATTTCATTTCGTTTCTATCTGGCTTCCCTGCGTGCGAACGCCATGATAAATTGACCGGGGACTCGATTTAGTCCGCTCGCTCACATCGGATGCATAGAGGAAACGTCAGAGTGAAATAATGGGGCCTAACCAAGACAATCGGTCGTAAGTCGTATCGTGTAATAATGGAATAATAGATTTCGTGCCGAAGCAGAAGACTCTGTATCTCCGGTGACGAAACAGTGTATCGAGGAAGCGCGCGTTGCCAATTCGGGGGGACCGGGGGACCGACGTCACGGCATCTTTGCTCGGTCGTGCCCGAAGACTTTAACGCCCGGCCCCGGGACGTGAGCGCGAGGCCGCGCGATAAGGCGGTCACATAATTTTCAATAGTTACACCGCTCGCGTAACTCGAGTGGACTCTCAAGCCAGCGCGTGTCGCGGCGCCGCGTCCTCGAATATATATCACCCGGCGCTAGGATACGTCGGGTGCAGGTCGTCTGGGTCGAAGGAGCCCGTAACTCCTTGCCAGCATCGCTCCGCTTCTCGCCACGACGTTGCGGAATGGGATAAGGCTGTCTCGTGACAACACGAGAATCGGACACAACGGGGGACACGCTCTGAATTAAGAATGTAACCGCTTGTGGAACTCGCGGGAGATCCATTGTTTTTTTCTTTCCATATTACAGTCGCATTCTTTCTGCGCAATTTAATGCACAGGCCACGCCGTGGTCCCCGCGTGGGTGTCCCGAGAGCGTTGGTAAACGAGAAATAACGTGGACGAATTAATACTTGCCACAAAGACAGCGTACGCGACGCAGAGAGACGTCGTGGCGGCGAAATAATTTATAAGAACGTTGTCCGCACGAGCGAGAGTCAGTTTACGACGTTCAAAACAGATGACGGACCCTCTTGTCTTAGATGTTTAACCCTGGAGAGCATAGATGTTCTTCACACGCCGATACCGCTGGCATCTTAACTCTCGTTAGCTCTCATTTTACAAAATTATTTTAAACATTGCCCGAGAATCATCGATGTTACACCGTCGATAAAGGCCTGCGTCCACGGTGCTAGAACTCGGCCCAAGTTCTGGTCTCGAGAAATGTGTAGCCAATCAGCTTGCAGCTTTTATGGAATAGCTGCAAGTTAATTGTGCATATTTCTCGAAACTGGAATTTGGACCGACATCGTGGACACAGGCCTTAAGATACGCGAATGACTCGAAATCGATTGATATCACGAATTTTTACAATTTATATACAGAGGAAAGTCTCTTGCTATAAGATACGCTTCTAATATGAGATAGCAGGTTTTCAACGTCCAAATTCAATCACAAATCTCTCTTCGCAACGATTACACGATCTAACAATGAAATTTTCCACTAAACAGATTTTACTCCAAGGGCGATAAATTCACGGTGGAGCCGACGGATGATGTCTATTAATTGAGCGGGAACCCCGCTATTTCGTATTAGGAGCCTATCTCATAATATGGGACTTTCCTCGACACATATACACATAAGTGCTTTTATCAATATCGACGCGGCGGGAAAGGGCACGGATGATTCAATCTTGCGAAAGACGCCGGTTACACCTGCGGTTTAATTTGATCCCCGTGAACCGTATAATATCTCCGAGTTAAAGTAATTTTCAACATATAACCCGCAATTTTCCGCGCTCATTGCAGCGAGCATTACTCTCAATTTCTTTGCCGAGCTAGCAAGTGTCTTGCGCGTTAGTAGTCGTTAATGAATTGAAATTACGGTTAACGCTTTGAGGCATTGCTCCCGAGAGCGTCGCGTATTAATTGCTCCCGCGTGAGCAATTCCTAAAGGTAATTTCCAAGTTACATCATTACAGCAGCTGTGTGTTTCGCGCAATACTGAGCTTTCCATAATTACGCTCGTTAGTCGGTCAGGCGGGCCAAGTTTCTCCTTTTGCGCCAGGATGATGCGACTGTTTCTGTCCTCAAGAAAAAAAGCAACATGTCTTATAAGTTATCAAAGAGGTTTATTAAAGGTACACGCAATAATCCGCGGTTGAGGGAATTTAGCTTTGACGTAAACTTCGTAACGCATCGTTCGTCGTTCTCTATTTATTTATTCTCGTTATCGATACAGAAACTCGAGGGATAAACCTCTAAAACAAAGACTGCACTAATATTAAAGGAAACGCCTGAGAGTGGATTAAATCGCGGTGAATGCGCATACTTTTGCCAATATTGCGTTTTAGAGACTGCCATGAATGTTTTAATACCTATTAAAGTTCGTGGTTTATGAAAATCTGTTGTTACATCCGCGAGAGATTGTACTACTCATTTCTTTTCCGTTACTATGTTAGGTGTAAGCGTAGCGATAAGGTCGACTGACGAAAATCTTCGCTTAGTAATAATTCTGTGTGAATTGTAAAATACTTTATCCAACTCGGTGAATCCCACGCCTATTATATTTGCCGGTCTTAAAACGCAGCCTTCTGTTGGAACAGCAAAACTCTACACTGATAGAAAAATGTGTGGTATTTGC